GATTCAGTCTGCAAATGATCTGAAGATGCCCCCACCCTCTTAAACTTCCTCCAGAACATCTTCAGCCTGTAGCCTTGCCCTCTCCCTTTAGCTACGGGGAGCTGCACTCTCATTTATGACTGATATTACAGTTTTTCTTTCAGCAGCAATTGCATGGGCCCCACATAAATATTAGCAGAGTGAGCAAAAGGGCCACTCTTTTGAACACTACCAGGGAAATATCTCCTACCTTCCCCCCCACACACCTTTTTGTCTCCCCTCTCACCCATTATCCCTTTAATGCAGAGCAGGGTTGCTGATTACAAAAGAGGCAGTTTGACTCCAGCAATAGGTCTTCTTCACTGATCCTCGCTGTCATGGAAATTTCAGCTGCTGCAAGAATAAGAGGTTCAATCCATATTTGCCAGCTCTAATATGAAATCTGTCAGGGCCCAAATTAATGAGTTCCAAATTCCTTACATCACGATAACAGGTTAAGACTGGTCAATTAATTACATAAATCCTTCCCGATTCATTGTGCATTTGCAGGAGAGATTGTGTCTTACATTACTCCATGACACAGGGCCTTTTGGCTCTTGTTGTTCCGCAGAAAGGCCCCATTTAAAAGCAGCCTGCCTGCCACAGCGAAGTGTTAAATGTCACGCTTTAGATTTGCACTTTTCTGTAATTGCTTTTGTTTTAAAAAAAAAATAAAGAGCTTTAGAGATGCTGGGGGAGATGCTGGTTAAGGAGTGGTCCCCCTCAGAAAGCTGCTGCCTCGTCTGATACACAATCTAACACCCCAGCGATAACTGCCACTGCTCATGGGGGGAGGCCAATCTATCTGTCCTTTGCTTTGTAGCAATTGATCATTTTCCTTGGCTAAAAAGGTGGCCAGGTTTGCGAGCTGACTGGGTTTGGGGCTTTTTGTTTTATGCAATCAACTCATTAAGCTTTCTGTGCCTAGAACCTATTCTATAATCTCTGCCTCCTAGGAAGACTCCCATACAAACCAGAAGGATTCTCTGGAAGAAGTGGGTTGTGACCATAAAAACTCATGACACCATCTACATGTTTTGTTAGTCTTTAAGGTGCTGCTAGACCATTCGTTGTTTTTTAAGTTTTTCCAGAATGACCCTGTCTCTCTCTCTCACACACACACACACACACACACAAACACATCTAGTGCTTTGTTGGGAGGGCTTGGGGAACAGATTGGTGGAGTCGAATGGGGACATATAGCTGCGGCTCAGCTTTTGGGCCCCTACCTCTCAACTCCCTTGAGCTACCCTGGCAGGGTCTCTGCCTGGCAGCGCCTCCTCCGGCCGCCAGGTGCATTACACGCAGAGATACCCCACGCCGGTGGTGTCCAACCAGTTCTGAGGCTACTGAGCTAGCCAGACTCAAGCGGCCAAATAGCCACACGTGGATAATGGCTAGCGTGTTGGACACCTGGGCTCTAGGCCCAATAGACTCAGGCAAGCATAGAGGTGGGAAGCAGCTGCTTGCCCCTTCCCTCTTGCACAGAGGCGCTGCTCTCCTCCCAGCTGACTCTCAGTCACCGCCCTCCCTTGCAGGCACCAAGTTTGCTAAGCTAATGAATGCAAAGGCAGGACAGACACGATTGCGCTGGCTTGTAAGATGAGCAGCCTACAGAGGCTCTTTTGCTAACGTTTTACTTCGGGGGGAGGGGAGGAAACCCACCACACAGACCATCGGTTGAAGCCCTTCCACTCCTGGGGATGGGGGATAATTCCTGGGGGCCCCAAGTGTGGCTGCAGCTAGCTGGAGCCCTGAAGATTTGGTGGGAGGAGGGGAGCTGGAGGGCAGCAAACAGGAAAGCGCTGGCTATGCTCTGGCAATCGCACTGATTGGGCTCCGAAATGGAACTGCAGCCAGGAGCAGGCGCCCCCAAGTCCAAGGGATTACACCGGCAAACTCCCCTCTCATCCCGCTCTCCCAGCTGCCGCCCCTGTCCCCCCTGGCTCGGAGCCACCGCCAGCCTGCCCGGAGCCCGGCCGCCGCCTGGGGCTTTGCATAACAAAGAACTCCCTCCGCCCCGCGACGGGCAAGCGCTGCAGCCTCCCTCTCTCCCAGGCTGGCTCACACGCACAGCCCCCCGAGCCTTTTGTTTTACAGCCACGGGCGGGGGGATACATTTAAAATAAATCAGCTGCGCCCGGGAAATGTCCGATCCCTGCAGAGCTCCCCAGGCACCCCCCTAACCCCCACTCTCCTTCCTCCACACGCCGCGTGCCCCCTGCAGCTCCTGGGGCGTTTGCATTGGTGTGTGGGGGGGGGGGGTGGTCTAGCCCCAGCTCTCAGGCATGACTTTGGGGTGCTGGTGCTTGGGGCGGCTGAGAAGCTACAGTGCTGGGTCTCCCTCCCCTCCCTCTTCCATCCCCCTCCCCCGCGGTTGCCATGGGTTGCGGTTGCTACGAGTTACCGGATCAAGGCCGGCTAGTTTCTTTACCTGACAAACAGCCCCCGGCAGAGCCTGGGCGCATGG